TGTCTTTTTATTGATCATTTAAATATGTAAAGTCTGAGAAACAAACACTGTTCGGCAAAGTTCTTCATTTTACTTATACGTTGTGATGGGTTGTCTGTTTTATATCCTGAATCAGAAACCGCTTCTGTTGGCCAGTGTGTGGCAGTCTTAGATAGGATTTTGTAAATTGTCCCTCCCTTTAAACGTGATATGAGAGACAATAAAACAGACTCCAGCCGCCTGCCATCGCTTCAGTTGATGTCTGCTTTTCTCCGTGTAAAGCTGGTATTTTTGTTGAACAATTCTGAGAAACCGTGGATATAATTCATAWATTTTCCTCACACAATTTATCTGGATTTTTCTTTGGATTAACACTGGGACATAATGAGWCGGCAAGTACTGTTGTTCCTCTGGCTTCTTTGTGTCGCAGGCGTCTGCGGACAGGTCAGCTATTCTGTTCCCGAGGAAATGGAGAAAGGTTCTTTAGTCTGCAACGTAGCTCAGGATTTGGGTTTAGAAACTAAGCGGCTGAAATSGGGCAAAGCTCGCATCTATTCGGGAGACAGCGCAGAATTCATCGAGCTGAACAGAGACAGAGGCGACCTGCTCATCAGAGAGAAAATAGACAGAGAAGCGCTGTGCGGGGACACGACGCCCTGTGCGCTACATTTACAGATGATTCTGGAAAATCCCATGGAGCTGTTCCGAATCACAGTCGAGATAGCAGACATTAATGATAATRCTCCCAGCTTTGCTTCAGCTGAGAAGCGTTTTGAAATCAGCGAGTCGGCCATTGTMGGCTCTAAATTTGTMCTGGARMAAGCTGTTGATGCTGATATTGGCACGAATGGTCTGCAGAGCTATTCACTGAAACCAACGAATAATTTTGCACTAAAATTAGAGAGTGATGTAGATGGAAATAAAAAAGTAGAAATGGTTTTRCAGAAACCTTTAGATCGAGAACAGGAGGGACATTTATCTCTAATATTAACTGCAGTGGACGGGGGRCAGCCCCGGATGTCAGGGACAATGAAAATAATTATTAACGTTTTAGATGYTAATGACAATGCACCAGTATTCACCAAATCTGTCTATAAGGCAGCTTTAAAGGAGAACTCCCCGCGGGGCACGAAAGTTATTACAGTCAGTGCGTCAGACAAAGATGGAGGCACGAATGGAGAGGTCTCATATATGATTTCAAAYRMYAAGCGGCGTTTATCTGATGTGTTTGAAATTGATAGAAAATCTGGGGAGGTTACACTGATCGGTGAAATTGATTATGAAAAGGCAAAACTCCTTCAAATTGACATCGAAGCAACAGATAACGGAGGGCTCTCTGATTCTAGTAAAATTCTAATCGATGTAATTGATGTAAATGATAACAGCCCTCAGATAAAAACACTTTCTGAATCTAAATCGATTTTAGAAGACGCTCCAGAAAATACTGTAATTGCCATGTTGAGCGTAAATGACCCGGACTCTGAGAGGAATGGTGAGGTGAAGTGCAAAATTAATGATGACATTCCTTTTAAAATTCAAAACACGATGAACGGATTTTACAGTTTARTAACAGAGGTGATGTTAGATCGAGAGGCTGTTTCTCACTTTAACATTACAGT